TATTCACATATCTATGTAAAATAAAGTTTCACAGTAACAGTTATACAAAAAATAACAACTATTTACATATTTTCCAGCAAACAGTGTTGGTGGTTTAAAGAAATCAATGAGACTTTATATATCGCTTTTTTGTATTACACTCATACTAACAACAAGTGAGTGACTACTTGGGCTTTCTTTTCAGCCCTTGCTTTGCTATAAAACTAACAATGCAGTATGTACAGTTTATTGGGTTAAAGAATGTTTTGAAATATTTGCATGTAAAAGTTGTTAATAAGTTAGAATGCCTGTTTCAGAAACAATGGTTGTTCTAATCTATACTAATAAGATCAACATCGCATCTTGACATCTCAGAACAAGCATGCAGCACGTAAAGTAATAGGAAGCAACCACCAGAACCCACCAACCCCCCTGCTGTTTTGCCCCCATTGCACCAGACATTTTCAAGCTAGGATCGGGCTAATCAGTCACCCCCCCCCCCGAACACACAAAATCAATGGATGATGAGAAAGATGGTCCTCTTCAATCATGAAGGGCGAACCACATATATAAATATTAATACAGTACACAAGTAACCACAGTAACTAAGTTTGTCTTTGCCACACTGGCTAGCTACGGTATTTTTCTGAATATAAGACGCACCCTTATTTTGAAGACAAAGTTTTTTGGGAAAAAAAGCTACAGTCGCATTTGAAAGATTTTTATTGAACAAAAATTCAATTTGACACTTTAAAAATGAGTATATATTGTTTTAAACACAAAAGAGCTCAAAACATCAAAATAAGAAAATACCGTAAATCAAAAAATTGTTTACTGTTATTTAGTTTGGTTCAAAACCTACAAAATCTTCATTCCTTTCACTGTAATTTATTTTTTTATTATTTAGGGAGCATTATAAATAGTTATGTTTTAAAAGAAAAAAAAAACTACTACTGTTATAAATAACACATTCAATTGAACTAAACTATGCAGGCCTATTTAAATATATTTACACATGGCTTATGTATATCGTTTCTATACATATATATTATTCATACCTTTGGTGTAAGCAGATTTTGACATCAAATTTTGGGGTAAAAAGTGCGTCTTATACACCGAAAAATACGGTAATTAAAACGTTGTGTGTTTTATCATTGCACAACATGGCTTATTAATATTATTAAATATAACTTATTTTTCAGATTTAAAGCAAAAGCAGTTGATAGTATCCTCAAGGTACTTGTGTGTTTGAATGGTGAACATTTCATGAAACTTTATAGAAAGGAAAAATTGACAAACATTTGTAGTTGACAAATGCTATAACAGATGTGAATATTTGTTTGAAAGGTTTGGAATTCTCAGGAAGTTGTAAATGATATAACAACTGGTTTAAATACTCATGTAGAAGGGTCAAGATCATTAAGAGGTGAAATTATGAATATTAACCGTTGTTTGGAAGTGTAATGGCATTAGTTTTATGCTTCTTATTCACATTGCTAATCCTTATTATACTTGCAAATATTTTGTTTAATATATGTTGCTGACACTCTCTGGAGAGTACTTAACTAAAATGCCTTCCAAAGTCACAAAGAAAATGCAATCATACTCAAACAGATCTGAAATTATGTTAAATTAAAAAACTGACCTCATTCCTTTGGTTATTATTGTATCCTATTGGGTAAAAGAATTAGGTATTTATTTTTTGATATAAAACCAACTTTCCAATTCAAAAGAGATTCATAGGGTCAATCATATATTATATATTTTTATGACACTTTGCTGCAGACACATCTTCACAAAGTTCCTATGCAAGTGGAAATTATTTAGGTGTAATAATCCACGTTTCAAATTTACAAGCAATTTTAAAAGAGTTTTTGAGTTCTTTCTGTATATACAGATAGTACAGTGTACGTGAAAGGATAAAATAGTTCCTGACCTTCCTTTACTTTAAGCTTGTCTTAATTTTCTAAGATCCTATTCTAAACATCTTTGTTTAGCCAATATTTCAGTGAAATGCACCTTTGTTAATATGTACATATCATGAAAGTGAAATAATTATCAATATGAAACTTACTTTTTAAAGGCTATAATGAAAAGTTCTGTATGCTTTGAAGATGACCACAAACTGTAGTAACAACCCCTAAAATTTTATATTTTACATATACAGGTATATTGTAAGGTCGATTTACATACTGTTTTTGATAGAACTACAATTATCAGTATGAGCAAACATGTAACAGATGTAGTTTGAGAAGATCTAGCAGTTTGATTAGTATAATGAAGAGTACGAAAATAAACTGCTAGCAGCAGAAGACGAGGATATCCAACGGATGGCCTAGGGAACAGTGGTCAGAAAAGCTTTTGTAGTTTGCCCCTTATTGATAATTAAGACTATTTATTAATAATTTTAATTACCACTGTAGAATTTTAGCACCTCTTCTAGTAGAGAGGTTCAACGAACTTTAGCCTGATACCCACGTATGGTACATTATAAGATTGTTCAACTAAAGGGAAAGTATTTTGGATATGGGGTTACAAAAAGAAATGAATGATGTCTATAATGGACAAAACTCCAAAGAAAAAATTTGTCACATGAAGTTTTGTTGACAATTTTGCTGCAAATGTTTTTCATTCCATTTTTAATACCTTTTGAAACAACGAGGAAGCTTAAATCTCTTAAAATGTTATTGAAAATAAACCAAATGCAAATAAAATATCTGTCAGATGACAATTTAAAATTTGTGTACACTAGAATGTATGGATAAATCTGTGAATACTAGTAAAAAGAAAAGTATTAATAGACAAATATTAGTTTTAATAATAATAAAAAATCTATATTCATGATTAAACGAAACTCACTACTATGACACTATACCAAGGTCCATGTTTTGATAGTTTATAATTGGTTTGTCATTCATACTTACCACTTAAGAAACATAAAAAATGTCAATATTTAAAACTCAATATATTTACAGTTACTGAGCATAACATTCACAAAATTGCACTAAATTCAAAATCCAGCCAAACATGAATTACTGAAGAATTTTATAAGTGTTAACGGGGCAACATGATATAGATCAAAGCACCCTATAGTCATAAATTATGGAATTAATACAACATGTGCATAATGGCTAAAATAAGACCTTCATAAATCACCAAATAAAAACCCTTTTGTCTGGTGGTAAACCTTGAAGGCAATATTACTGATTATAAACAATCGTGAAGTTGAAAAATAGCATTTGACAAGTTAATGATGAGATTTTATCATGTGGTTTAAAAACCTATTTAATTTTGATCAGTTTTGCCTGTCTTACATTCTTATTTGTGATAATTTATATTGGTCATGTGTAATTTAATATAAATATTGGATTTCAAGATTTAAGTAACAAAAGGTAATGTGTTAATCACCTATAAAATGTTGGTGACAAGTTTGTTCTATAAAATGCTTGAGGTAAAATATATATAGTATGCTAACATTACACAGCCAAATCACGTACCTGTACAATACATTTTATACACAAGTACTTTTGTTCTAAATCTTAATAAATAACATCTGTAACTCATACATATCTATAGTATCTGACTTGTTTTATATATTTTTTGAACTTGCAGTATTCTAGTTGTTACGACAGCGGAAGTCATGCAATGCTGGGAGCATGTGCGCTGGAGTTTCTCGAAGGATCGTGAATTTTCCTGGCAACTCTAGTTTGTTCCAGGCACCCTCTTTTTTAGTATATAAGCCCAGCAAAAAAAAAGAGACAGAATTGCATAGATAGATAGATATAGATAATTGAGTCAAGCGAACAGTAGGCACCGTAAGTAAACTGTGTGAATCGCTGTGAATTATAGCATGTGTTTATAAAAGTAGTCAAGTTAAAGTGACTGTGGAAATTCTGTGTATTACAAAGTTGTATCGAGAAAGAATAAACTAGTTTTATTTAAGAAAGGACTTGTATCGCTGAAGTTCCTCGGAAAGAGTTTATACCGGAAATTAACAAACAAGCAGATACGCAACATAGTAAATATGCAAATACTGTGAACTAAGCTAGACTGTTGTTGATATTAAGCCTGTGACTAATCTCTGTATCGACCACTAATATTGATCTGATCTAAAGAATTCCCCAATGTTTTTCTGATGTGATTTTTAAGAAGATCAGATTGGTAAGTTTATTTACCTATGAAAATATGCAATACATTCAGGTGCCTTTCCAATAGAGAGAGAGAATGTAATGTATCTCAAAATGAGGTCAATCACAAAAAAGTGAAAAGAAATATTAGTGACTTTCAGTTCAGGTCATGTCCCAATATATATTAACTGTTTCTTAATTTCTTTTTACAAAGATAAACGTATTTTCAACCTAGTTTTATTTGTCACAAAATATCCTAGTATACTAGTTTTTGTTGCGGGGAGGTTTGTTATATGGTTTACATCAGTGAAAAAAAATTCCAAGTGGACATGATTTACAGCATTTTGCAGTTGACTTAAGGTACTTGGGTCAACATTCCACTTTTTGTCCTTTTTGTAGTCAGATGCATGCCACTGCTATATATATACATTAGGGACATCTGGACATGAGGAACACACAAATGCAGACTGTCTAAATCCAATCCAGATATCATCCGATCTTGGGTGCATTCGCACCAATCCAATATTTCACTCAGGTCACAGGCTTAGTTGCACTGTAATTTCATGTAAAGCAATTACCATAAAAGTTCTCTTGTTTTACACAAAAATGAATGAGCTAAATGAGTACAGAAAGTGTGAATCTGTCTGAAGACTAACTCAAACAATTTTGAAGCTGAGAATATAAAATCCCAAAAATTATGTAAAAGTGTATTTACTGAAATACAAACACTGTAAAATAGGTCAGCTCTATGGTTTACAAATTTTTCACCGTGTTTGAAAAAACAGAAACTAGTATACATACTTTAATTATATGTAAAAATGATCTGCACCAATAAATTCATGGAAGGAGGCAAAAGAAAAAAAAATATCTTAAAAAGCCAAACAGAAAACAAACCTTTCTCTTTCTTCATCTTCAACAGTAGGCATTACACCAAGTGCTTCTGGTAGAACTTCTGATAGAGGAGCAGACGCACTAGAGCCTGTTCCTGACACACTCGGTCTGCTGTACGTTGTGGTCATTCTAAGTGTGTCTACAGTTGAAGTTACTTTGTTCTGGCTAGTAAATGTATATCTAGTCTGTTGATCTTGGGAATCGAGATTCTGAGAATCTGAAGAGTTTGGAATAATGTTCTTGGACCCCTGATGTAACTGGATTGATATTCCCTGTTCAGCAAGTTCACATATTTGGGTCTGAGGAACTTTTCCTACTAGCATTTCATTCTCTGGAAAATCTTGGATGAGTTTAGATGTGACAGGATCTTGTGAAAGTAGTGATTTAGAGATGGGAACTGCTTGAATATGTTCTAAAGTATCTGAAACTGGGGACTGCTGAGGACAATCATTTACCACTGTTTGCATAGTCTGGATACCTAGTGTTTGAATCATACTGACTGGAGTTGACTCTGTTGTGTCACAAACTGGAAGAATGATACTGCATGAAGGTTGAGAATTCTGGTGAGTATCCAGTGTTACAGAAAAACCTTCAGAAGCTGTCACTGGATATGTTTGACTTAAATACATGTGAGCAATGTCACTTGAATTACTAACTACATGACTATTAGATGCATTTGTTAATCCATTGATAGTGGTTTTCAATGAACTATTGCTTTGTTCAGTAGACATCTCATTTTTCATTGCCTCTTGCTGAATGACTGGTGGATCAGTAAAGTCAGTGCATATCCACCGACCTCTTTTAAAAGGTTCACTACTAACTAGCTTCACAACCTTGAACCGATTTTGCCATTGGTAAGAACAAGAGGCCATAGGCACTTCCTCAGTGACATCAGATGAGTTACGTGTTGGTGTCAATGACAGAACCTGCTGATTTCTTTCTGGTTGTATGATAGTTTTTGCAAACCTTGAAGAATCTATGGTAGAGGTTACTGTTATTTCTGAACTAACAATATTTGGGAAAGGAGTCAACTCCAGAGATTCACACTTAATTGGAATGGAGGATGTAGAAAGGAAAGGTAATTCTGTAATATTACTATTTGTGGTGCTAGTACTGATGCTACTAATATCACCTGTTGTATCCTCAGAGGACTGGTCATTATCAACATCCATCTTTTTTGAGCAATTAAATGTTTCTGAATTCAACTCATCAAAATCTTCTGCACTATCTTCTTCAGGATCATTGTTTATCCTTGCTCCCTGAACTGTCACACTTGTTATTTGGAATGATGGTTTCTTCTTATGTTCTTGATGTTCTTCTAAAGCTACAGTTCCATTAAATTCTAGGTTAGCATTCGCCCTGTTCAGGTTATAACACAAATTTGATTCCATAGATGAGACAGGAAAAGCAAATGAGATGTTTGCAAGTTCTGAATGTCTCTTATCACTGCTTATGAAATTATTAGCCATAAGATTTCACATGCTGACCTGCTTTTCAAGCAAAAATTTCAAACCTTAAAAAGAAAGAAAAACAAATTAGGTTCTGTAATCTGCAAATACATGAAGTCTATAATGAAACACTCAATAAGACATTAAAGTATAGATGAAAGTTTCAATTCTTCAGCAGTTCAAATTTTTAGTAACAAAAAATATAATTCAAAACAGACAGACTTATCTTTGAAATATGAAAAGCTTTTCCCTATTGATGTTTTAATTGTGTTAAAAACATATTACTAAAGTTCTGAATGCCTCTAACAGCTTGCAAGGTATGTATCAACTTACCCATAGTTATCTGCTCTCCCATGAATGATTGAGCTTGTGTCAAGATGATGTATATAAGCTCTACTTTTTCATGATAATTCAGATTTTCTTGTTGACAGTTATGCTGTTAACTTTACTACAACAAATTTAGAAGGCAATATTAATTCTGATGCAAATATTTCCAACAATATTGGAACTGATAAAAAAATTTTTGGAGGCCTTACTCACACAATCTGATTTTAGGATGGGTGATCTTATGGCTGCACTTTCAGTCTTTATTAATCAATGTACTTGGACTATTAATGCCAAATTGTCTGTTAGTGTGCCTGGCAGGCTTCACAATAATATGGGTGTTCAACATGTGTAGCATTCAACATTTTCTCAAGATTTTGAACAAGACCAATTTTTTGTTCAGGCCTATTCACCTTCAATTTCTACAGAGCAGGATTATCTGCTAGCTCTGATCCTGAAGAAACTCCTGCTGGCCTTACTTCAGTTCAGTGTTTACTCTATTATCATCCTATTCCTGCTTTATTCTTTTCCTTCTGATCCTGTTTGTTTACAAGTTTTGGATCAGGAAATCTAAGGTCTTTCAAAAGAAGAAACAGAAATTGTTTATTATTCTTCTCCAAGTTGTTACTCCCATTTCTTCATTGTTTGAAGGAAATGGAAGATTGGAGACCTGTCTCAACTCAAGTTTTACCTGGATACACCACATTTCACCTTGGATAACTACAAAATCTCTTTTTGAATAGAGTTGTTTAAACATTTGTTTAACAACAAGTAAAAGCTTGGATTGGTCTATTCCTTCATTGGGGGTGTGTCTGTGAGCCAAACTAGTTTCAGAGAATTCCAATCCTCATCAGTGACCCTGGACACTACCACGAGTGAAATATCAGACCAAACCAAGCCTTTATAGTAGTGAGGTATCGAAAATCAAAATGGTGTATTTAAGTGTTTTACACTCACAAAAAAGAAACCTAGCATTTCAAAACATCTCTTTTCATTACTCTTCCTTTTGACCTTCATCTTTTCAAAGATGCTTATATGAAGAATTGGGGTGTTATGCTGAGAATCAACATCGGTCTGGTTACATCAATCTGGTTTTTGGATTCTTTAAGAAGCAACAGCTCATCAATGTGTTAGAACTTTGAGCTGTTCAACATGTCTGTCTGTCTGTCTCAAGCTACCTTCCCTTCTTCACCACCATTTTTGTTAATTCACACAAAAAAAAACTAATTTGGTAGCTTACACCAACAATCACAGAAGTACCTGTTCATGCAGCCTTTGTTTTGTTTAGTTTTTCTACTTCATTGGCTTCATTCTCAGCATGAGCTTGTCATAATCTTGATGTGATGAATATTTTATCCAACTTTCTTTCTCAAGGTCATCACTTCCTTTCCACATACTAGGCCCTTCATCCTTTTTCAGATTTGTGAATATCTGGGTGATTTGATGATCGATGTCTTCACTACATTGACTAAACATCTTCCACTGACTCCATTGGTCTCAAGTTTCCAGATCCAAATTCACTGGCAGTGGATGTCCTGAGTCAATCTAGGGAGAACCTTTTCCTTTACGCATACTCTCCAATCCACCATTTCCCTCAGGTCCTGGTCACAATGAGTTTCTTGATGTGCCAGGTTCTCCTCCATTGCTCCATTTTGGTCTGATCAACCATGGTTTCCTCCCATTATGTCAACTTTCACATGAGGACTTGACCCATTATAACCATGGGATCCTTATCTAAGCCAACCTCAAACATCTGTTTTTCACAATCAAGTTCAATGTCTACAACTTCACAACTTGTATGGTACTTTCCTTTGGTTGCTCAAACGTTAGACCATTCTTGCAGAAGCTTTTCTCTGGCTGTTTATCAATCTTGTTGGGCAATCTTCTAGAGTTAGTGCATTATACAGTAGAGCAGGGTGATTAACTTGATTAATTAATTACTTTTATGCACTGATTATGTAGATTAGTGTAATGTAAAATAAAAGTTATTCAAATTAAATCAATTAATGTCCATAAAAATAATGAACTAACTGATATTAGTGTTTCTGATTATTTCAACTATCTAAGAAACTGAAATATTTCTACTATCATTTCTCATTATTTTTCATTTCCTTATTATCAATTGCAATAACATTTCTTTGTTTTAAGTCTCAGGCGTTACTTTTTGATTCCCAGTAATTGTGAAAACTCCTAAATTTTTCCATGTGCTTTAATTTTTCATCAGTTCGCCACATCCCAAAAAAATTATTCATCAAGAGTTAGCTTGATAATTCAATTCTAGCATTATATATAATGTGTGTATTCAACAGATACAAGGAATTTAACTTTCACAGTAGTCCTCCCCATTTTTATACTCAATGTTCTAGCATCATTAATGGTGTTTCATGTTTGTGAGGCACTAATAAATAAATGTAGAACAAAAAATATCTCACTTTAATTGTCACTGTCTCAAAAACCTTGAATTTGTTTATTAAACACACAAACTAAAACTGGGAATAATGTCACTGCTTTGTTAGCTTTTGTCTATATAAACAGCAAGTGTATTATATGTGTATGCTCCTTCTATGGCAATCTACTTGAGCAGTAGCTGCTTTCTATCACTCCTGTCATTTGGAACACTACATTCAGCCTGACAACATTTCAAGTTATGTGGACAACCTCAGAATTATATATATATACACAAGTTCTTTGGCTCAAAATACAAAATTTGTATTAATAGGTTTTTATGCCTAAAGGAGTTGCAAAAAAGAAAATAAAGGCTAATGTATATATTGAAACTTAACTTTTGTTGTCTAGCAAGGTGATGCTAGAAATCATTTAAAAAGGCAATTGGAATGTTAAAAAAATTTGATAAATAACACTCAGCAAGATATTAGAAATATATTTCCTGCCTAAGTGACTTTTTTAGATTAACTTTTTTTCTATACAGTTTCATTTGAAAGAACTTGCTTCTTGTATGAGAAGATCACTGTTGTAATAGTTAAAGAGAAAAGTTAAGGTGTGACTACTGTAAAACAAAATCTTGTGGATTTTAATACTATTCTGTTAGAATAATCTCAATGCTTCTTGAACATGAGACATAACTCACCTAGGGTAAAAGGGGGCCCAGAGAGTATAAATACAGACTCATATAAGGGGGTAGATGACCAGCATTAAATTGTGTGCAAGATGCCAAATATCTTGAATTAAAAGAGAGAGATTACATGCTGAGCTACACAGAAGGTGAGACCATCTGGCAGTACTTGAGCTTGACAACACAAAATCTTAAAACATTCAGGTTGGCACCCACTTGATAGCATGTTTGCAGAATAACAACACTTATTAAGGAAAAGGAAAATGATCACTAGAGCCCACTTTATGACTTGACATACTTAAGATTTTAAGAATATGCAAAACAGAATATTAATAAGAGTGGAGGTTGAAAGGAAAGATAAGTAAGAAGTGATACTGTTGCCATCTGCTAGATTATCCAAGGGATTGATAGAATAAAGGCTTCTAATCTCTTTGTGCTGAATTATGAAAGCAAAACAATGAGAGGTGACAAGTTTATGATCTGGAAAAAAATATTTTTCTAATACAGTAAGAGGGTAATTAACTTATGGAATGAGTTACCATCAATAATAGTGAAGGCCAGCATCTTACAAGAGCTTAAGGGGGATATTGATAATTTCCTGAAAAAAAAAGGTGTGTCTAGTTTTTAACTTTTCCTTGAGAGGATGAGTGTGCAGGGACATTCTAGAAGAAATAAATGATCTGGATAGTTCTGGGTGACCACTGCATTTACACAATTTTTAATTTAAGAATTGAAAAGATACTGAAATCCTGTACAGAAATAGTGAAGCTTCAAAGAAATGTATAAGTATAGTCCAATTTCTACAAAAATACAATGAAATGTTAAATGGAACTATGAAAAAGGCCATCTAAGTCACCCTCATATAATAAAAAACAACCCAACATAAGAATAACTCATCAACTTCATGCATCTATCGAACAAAATTTTGAAACAATTCATACTGCTGTAATTGCTATTCTACAAATTTTATACCAAATTTGTATGTAGGCATTCAAAGCTTAAATACATTATCCCTATGCATTTCTAACCTTTTCATTCCACCACTCAAGCAGACCATCAAAAACTGTTCAAACCCCAAATGTTATAAACACCTGAATCGAAACTCTTAATTCTCTCCTCACAGCTTAAATTATTAAAATCAATATCATTATCACAGCCTGTCTCTGCAAGTTTTTCAACAAGTTGACAGTCTTAATCGAGTAGCAGACCAAAACTATACATAGTATCTTTATACTTTAATTTTCTACAAGGCTCTAAATTCAAAATTCTAATGAACAAAACAATTAACTACAGCTACTTTTATTACTACAGCTAAATATGAATACAAACTTCTATGTAAAACTAAAGTGAGAAAAAACAATCTTTACACTCCAGATAATTATACAAGACCTTTTATTTTAACCAACATTTTGCCTTTGCAGCTTCTTCAAAGCTAGTACATAAAACTATTTGATATTACAATATTCTTCAAATTATAAAATTGCTTGTGATGTTCTATTCCATGAGCTTCTTTTATGTACTAACCCTGAAGAAGCTGCAAAGACAAAAGTTGGTTGAAATAAAAGTTTTCTTCTTATTATTATCATCTGGGGTATAAAGGTTATTTTTTTCTAATTTTATCATCAAAATGTGTAAATCCCTCCAGTATGCCCTACAAATCTTGAAAGACATGTAAAAGTAAAGAAGAGTGTATAATAAACTGTCAATCACATTAGACTTGCTATACCTAATACTAATGAGGTTGTGTCTAAAATCTGGGTTCTTCAGGGTGCATGGGATGATTTAAGGTTTTATTAACAATCAACATTATGCAGTTGCACCTTATTATAAGTTATAAAGTAATTCTGAGATACAAAGCACGAGTTGGAGGCTTACTTGTACTCGTAAATAAAAACCTGTCAATATGGCTGGCTGAACATTATGGGAAAAATCTATCCAAAATGCTAAATTTATATCCAGTATGTTACAGTCTTAAATACTGAAAAGTTTAATTCATCATTCAGTCTTGGCTTAGGTTTTGTTTTCTTTCATTTCTAGGTAAAATTTCAGTTATGCCCTCTTTATATTGTTTTGTAACTCCAATTTCACCTGATGACTTTCAAATTCTCTTGTAGTGAGCAGAAACTAAGGACAGAAAGAAAGCTATCCTAATAAAGAATCTAAAAACTTTTTCCTACCATAACATTCTGCCTTAAAATCTATTCTGAGCACAGAACTGAAGACTGTTTATTATATTTTATCAAGCCTATGTTTATTATTCTATTTTAAAATTTCCTTGATTTTACAAAAATTCATCAGAGCCAGCTGGAAACTTGGACTTAGACAACAAGACTATACATTAGAATAATGAGGGTTAAATGTTTTATCTGTGTGCATGTGTAATATAATAATTATTAGAAACAAGACTGTTATTTTCTTACAAATAAATAAAAAAATGCTGCTATAAAGACATAAAACTAAAAAAACTACATAAATGGTTAGAACCAACGACTTGTGTGAAGTTAAAAAGTAAAATATTTTAGCCAAATCACTTTCTGTGTTTGGTCAAAATTATGATAATTTTCTTTCTAGGTGTAAGTTATTTGACCAACATGTTGGGCGTTTTCTCCCCTCTTATTGATTTAATTTTTTTGGGGGGGAATTTGATAACTGTTATTACATTATATGTAGTAATGATAAAAATGTTTTTGACTTTCACAGTATTTATTTTGATTATGCTGTATTGATTATTATTATTAATTACTCTCATAAAAAGTTATTTTGAATGTTAGAATATTTTCTCAGTGTACTGAATTAACATACATTATATTTCATCAGGGCTGTCAACTTCTGATGATGTTAAAATAAGGCGACTGTTGAGTGACATAGCCCAGTAGAATGTTCACGCATACATGGATTAATGAAATTCACACTAAATCACAGTTAATAACAAGATGCATCTTTAATCTAATGGGTGAAATGCAACGATGCAGCATTAGCTTTCTCAAATGAGATTAAAGGAGCGTTAAATTAATTGTTAAAAGCACACAAACACACTCACGTGATACTGATCATGCAATAATGTCTGGTGGCTGCACGTTATGCAAAGGGGCTTTTTTTAATGTGCTTTTCCCTGGCTAAATTTCGTTGTCTGGCACTGGCAGGTAATTTTCTGGTGTTTTGCTGATGATTGGACAAGGAGGGTATAAACTATAATATTATTATTACTCAGTTTACTGTCATTATCAACAACATGAAGATACGGGTTTAGATTTCTCGTTTTCTGATCACGACTTTTTAACGTTAAACAAAAAATGCAACCTACCTTTCAAGTTTCAGCAGATTATACATACAATTTTATTTTCAAAGTTGAACTATAAAAAACTATAACCCCCATTTCCCTATATTGTGCAACAACCTCACTATATTCAGCTTTTTCCTTACGAGTATCACACTTCCCATGCAAAATACGTTTAGTATATCTGATGGTATTGACACTCTTACAGCGACCCCTGTTAGACAGTGGTTTTAGTATAATAAAATCCCCTATTTCAAACACGGTTCGTGTGGTCAGATAAAAAATTCTGGTTAATGCATGTAAGAAAACAAAACAAAAGATAGAGAGAATTATATTCGATATAACTTTACATGAGCTCCACATGAGTAACGCTGTTGTTGTATGGTTGTATGTTATATTTTAATACTAGAAATAAACGACCTTGTAAACACCAAATTTGTTATTTTTCTTTAATTGGACGCTTAACGAAACGTTACAGCTTCTTCAGGAGCGTTTCCCTAAAATGCAAATCGTTTTAGAGGAACGCTCCTGAAGAAGCTTTATTGTAGTATTAAAAATAAAGTAAGCCTAATACCACTGTCCTATAACAAATATAATTGAATATTAAACAAAGTATAGCATTTATATTCTGAATAGCTTTACATTAAACATTTTTTTAAGCAGTTAAAACTGCAACGTTTCAACCAATAGCAGAAAGGCACATCTTCAAGCAATGTACAGTCTTGGCCAAAATGTTTGCAAAAGTTTGTAACAAATAAAATAATTATTACTAAGATCGAATATAAATACAATTAGCGCTGTCAAACTGAGAAATGCCTGTTATATTAAACATCTACATTTGTAATTTGTATAATGAAACAGGTTCTATGGACATCATGAACAATTTATTAGAACAGTAAACAGTTTTATCAGACACCTGCAGAAAGATGTGTAATTCAACATTTCACCCACCACAATAAAACCTTAGCCTCCCAGTGGCACAGTGGTATGTCTGCGGACTTACAACGCTACAAACCGGGTTTCGATACCCGTAGTGGGCAGAGCATAGATAGCCCATTGTGCAGCTTTGTGCTTAACTTCAAACAAACAAACAAACAAAATCTTACCAAACATATATAATGACAAAATATAATATTAAATTATTATAAATAACGTTTGTAGCCTTATATCAGTTCATTAAACGTTCAGTACTTGGTTGGTTCTCCTCGTACCCTAATAACTTCTGCAAGGTGACGTGGCATGCTGTCGATGAGGTTACTGATGTGATTCACCGTGATTTCATTCCAACTTGTCACTAGAAGGGGCTGCAGCTCAGCTACCGTTGCTGGTTTAGAGTCGTGGTTATAAATTTTCCATCTCAGTTCTGCCTAACAGTTGTCAATGGGATTACAATCTGGAAACTTTGGTGACCATAGCAATCGTGTAACGTCCTCCTGGTCAAGATAATCCTGTACAATAAGTGCACTGTGGGCAGTGTCATCTCGGAACACAAAGTTATTGCCAAGCATTGCTCTAGTATATGGCAGAAATGTCATCTCCATGTGATGCCTTTAGGAGGCGCTATTGACTTTTCCCTGAAGGATGTGAAGAGCAGTTTTCCATCATGATAAATAGCTGCCCAAACATGTACTGCACCATCTCCTGTGAGGAAGACAATCTTCTCTCATCTGTTCTCCAAATAACCGACGAACACGAATCCTACCATCAGCTTTAACAAGCCTGAAACAGAACTCATATGAAAAGATGATATGTCACTAGTGTTCTAACTGTAAGTTGGCATGCTGTCTTGCCCAAGTAACATGATGACGGCGGTGACTTCTGATTAATATCAGTTTGCAAAGACCCTTTTTACAAAATTACCTTGTTTGTTCAGTTTTCTATTCACTGCTCTTCTGGATACCATGTAATGAATGTGTTTCTTCTCGTAAGGTGTTGTAAAACTTCTTTTGACCTTTGTTACGTATTAGAATTTCAAATGGCTTGAAATTGAGTTAACTGATAAATTTAAATTTAATAGTTAAATTGTACTTTGGATTTAGTAGTTAAGTAAAAGCCGATATATAGTCAGTTTATGATATTTGCAAACAAAATTGATACACAGTTTTCTTTTT